GTCTTTAAAGCCCCGTGAGAAGGTTGCTAAGGCAAAAACCGGGGGCTTTGGATACTAAACGGTGGCAAAACGGGGCACCTGAATTTATAAAAAATACAGAGAGACGCGTAAAAAAAAAATCCGTGCTTCATACAGTCATTAGCATAAATCCCCGGCGGGAGCGTTATCAGCGTTGCTCTGATAAGGTGAGGAATGCATATGTTAAGAGGCTAAGTCCCAGGGCTGGGCTGTGGGGCCCTGTAACACACTGGCCAGGGTTTATGCTTCCATCTCTTGATAAAAGGCCCTTTTCAAAACAAAGGTATTGCGCTCCAGGAAGGATAGTGCAGTCTGGCTCATACTAATCTTTGTGAAACACTCTGCGACCTCCTTATGCAAAGTATTATAGAAAAACGAGGTATTGTTAGTTCCATCTTTCCCTCCACTACTCGGGGCACAAAAACCAGCCCATACTGCAGTCCCTGCTAGGTGCGACCAGCGATCAGGCGCTTGCAGACATCCAGCAGCACGAATATGCTGAGAGTTGATAGCGAGGTAGCTCTACGAGACCTCTAGTCTTTAAATAGCCAATTTCCGATTTCTATTGTGCTGCTGTGATATGCCAAGTGTAAGATCTCAAATGAACCAGAAATAATTGGTGCTGTGCTTTTACTCTTCATGTCCCAGTCTTTCTTCCGCTTCTTTTTTGTCTATCTTTTCTTGCATTCTTAATTATTACCAAGGAAGGCTAATGCATGCGAACACTGTGGGGTAAATACTTTTCCAGCCAAGCAACAGCAGACCCTGGAGACAAGTTTTAGTCTGCAGAGCAGATTATATGAGTTATACCAGGTGACTTGCTGAGCTGCTCGTATTACAAACCCGAGAAGGATTTGACTTAATGCCAATAAAGTCACCCTCCTGAGGAAGAAAAGACCACTTGATAATGCTGAGGCATCATCAACATCTTAAAAACTCAGCCGTTTAATTTGTAATTCAGATCTCTCTTACAGGAGTGACGAGCAGAGAGGGAGGGAAGGTTTTAATTTTTCAAAGACCTTTTGCCCCGCCAGCTGGGCCGTTGCCTTCACCTGCGGTGGGACAGGGTGTTTCCCAGGCACCCTTTGCGACAGAGATAATCTTACTCTCCACCGAGAGTTCGACCAGCGCGGGCTTGGCCGCGTAGGCTGCTGCGGGGTAGGAAGAAGGGGACTGGGCAAACGAGAACGCCGCGGTGAGATTTTCCGACCGGACCCAGCCGCTCTCCAGGGAAGCTGCAGACTGAAGCAGC